TAGGGGTGTCAATATAGGTTTTGACACGCGGGTCGATCCGCGACACGACACGAAAATTCGTGTTCGGGTTGACCCGCAAAAAAATTCGTGTCGTGTTCGTGTTGAAAAAAATGACACGTAAAAAATTCGTGTCGTATTCGTGTTAATGTATTCGTGTCGACCCGTATTTTTTTAAAATTATTTTATTTTTAATTTTTTAATTTCGATCTATTTTTTTTAAAAAATTTGTCAATTACTATTTTGCGTGTTATTCGTGTCGTGTCAACCCGCAAAAAATTCGTGTCGTGTCAGTGTTAAAGATTTTGACACGAATAAAAATTCGTGTCGTGTTAGTGTTGATGTATTCGTGTCGTGTCGAATTCGTGTCGTGTCAACCCGTTTTAACACCCCTACCGGTAAGTCTCGACTTGTGACTCGGATATGGGAATGACTATCAAATAACTGGATAGTTCAACTGGTGCATACATATAGAGAAAGTAATTCTTGTGCGGATTGGCGGGCTAATTTTTTGCGAAAAAGGATGGAACAAGAGGACTATTTGACTTTCCAATCTCCTTCTCCTGATATTAAATGGTTGTATTTTTCTGATTTTAGTTCTGTTCATGAGACTATAATTTTTAAAAATGGATATCAAACATGCCTAAAAACTCTTTAAATGTAAAATTCAAATAATAACAATTTTCTAAATAGAATTATAATTTTGTTTGGTAGTCGAATTATAATTTATTAAGCAATGTTACAGTGAATTAAAGTGTATGAAAAATGTTTTAAAAAAAGTGTCTGAAAAATATCACAAACCCAAAAGAAGAAAATATGTTATACCTATCAAAGGTGATATTTTAGAAGATCCAAAAAAAAAAAAAAATACAATACAATAAAAAAATAATGTAAATATGAAAATAATCCTTTAAAAATTATCAATCCTGGTACGATATCAATTAATTTGGACACGTCACTTAGAAGAGTCCGCAAAAGGTCTAAAAATCTGCTACCAGCAGTAAAACCTGTAAATAATTAAGCGCTCAAATAGTTCTCATTCCGTGCTCTTCCCCTATTGAGGTTAGGGTTTTTCAGTGTTTTTTCGTGAGAGGAAGTATTGTAGTGAAGCTGAAACAGAGGGGCTATGGAAGATGAAGAAAAGACGATGGCTCTTATCGAAGAGAAAGCACAGTCTATGCTGAACAGTTACATCGCTCTGAAGGAGGAGGAGGAGAAGAAACCCAAGGAAGAATGGACCCTTTTGGGCTACCAGTGACGCGACCTATCACATGCTGACGAGTTGCACCAACATCTCATGCGCGAGATCGGCCGCAATATCGCCGAGATCCAAAACGAGGGACTCGGCGAGCAAGCCCTCTGCGACCTCAACCGCGAGATCAACAGACTCCTCTTCGAGAAAATGCACTGGGAGCGCCGAATCGTTCGACTCTGCGGCACCAAATACTCCGGCAAGATGATCGACCTCGACGGCAACATCGTCGATCTCCCAAATCCCGGCTTCAACTGCCTCGGTTTCGGCTATTTCGGCGCTGCCGCGAAGAAACTCCCCGAAGTTCGGGAGCTTCGGAAGCGGAGAACCCGTAACGACATTTATAAGATTGATGCAAGTCACAGGGATGAGGAGGATGGTGTGCTTGAGCGCGAGGAGGGCCCTGCCGAGAAGAAGATTCTGCGTGAGGCGGCTGAGATGCGGCGCGTGGCGGAGGAGATGCGGCGTGAGGTGGAGGAGGAGAAGAAGATGCGGCGGCTTCAGAAGATAAATAAGGTGGTTTCGGAGATGAAGAAGATGGAGCTTGTTAGTGAGTGTTTATTGGAGGAACATAGTGAGGCTAAGGACATGCTTAACATTCAGGGTTAGGTTGATTTTTTTAGTTGTAATTGACTCAGAACACCTGCTTAGGGATAGTTTGATTGCCTTTAGTTTTAAGGGTTTTTTTTTTGCGTTGATGCATCAAGACCAAAATCACTGTATTTTTCTGCATTCTAAATATTGAAAGTGATATGAAAGATTTTACTGTTTGAAGGTTGAATTAAGTATCTTTTATTAAAATGAACACTAAATGAAGATGAGCTTCCATTATATCTTAATTTGCTCAGTTAATCTGTTTCCCGTTAATGTTTAGTTGTAATGAGGATATAAATGACCACTACTAGTTATATTCAGTTTCTATTACTCTTGATTATTGATCGACCATTTTGTAAATGATGATTTAATACATTTTTAGTTTCTTATAGCATGAGCTTTCGTATCTCATACGATCATGATTCATACTTAAAATGGTTCAGTGCCAGCTTGATGGGTTCTGTTGTTGGAAAGTTTCTTTCTTGTTGAACCTTATTACTGGCCTGATAGTCTCCCAATATATGTGATTCTAATCCAAAATGTCATGATTAGAGTTTAATGGCTGATAGTGGTATGTTTATGCTTATATGAAGTTGAGACACCGAATACATTCAGGGATTCCTCAAATTATTTAAGTTGTATTAGCAGCCTTGAAATGGGCAAAAGCAGACATACAGGTATCCTCTCTGTACTTAGTATGAGAATTGCTTTCATCCCTACCCTCGCTAGTTGTAGTTTAACGGGGATTGATTTTGTTTTATATTCTATTGTTTTGAGGCTCTAAGATTATTGTGGTTAATTTTATATTAATATATTCATATTCTCTTTTTAGTGGTTACTTTTTTTTCTAGTAAAGAAAAGACATTCAGGAATTACAAAGAATTACCATTTATGCACATGGAAAACTTTTTTAATAGCTAGGGTGCATATTCGAGAGATTTTCTACTGAGTTGAAATGTATTAGAAACATAATCCAGCACTGTATTCTAGAATAGTTAGGAAGAACTGTGCTTTATGGAAGAGAGCCCTCCCCTAATCAACTGCCAATAAATCAATGTCCAACCTAACTGTAAGCCCTTATTAATTAAGGCTTGTGACGTGTACTGCCAATAAATCAGTGGACAGTTATGCCAAGAAAGTCGTGTTTTGGGCTAACTGCATTGTGCTTACGTTATAATTCTTTCTGGAACCATATAATTTCTCTGCTGATCTGCGCCCAATGAATTAGGATGCTGTCTTTTTCCTTTCATACAAACAAAAGATTTCTGTACTCTATAGTCTATACCCTTACATTTTGTATGAACAAAAGAACTCCTAATTGAAGGCTGTGTTTGAATGACAGGTACTGTTTTTCTGAGGGCTGGTGCAAATGTCCCCTGAACTGGTTCTTTAATGTTTATATTTTGCATGATTTCTTTCATTGTAAGTTGTCTTTGATTTCTTTCCTGTTGCCTTAATAGGTAATAAAGGACTTACACATCCTTACGCTTCACCGTGCTCATTTAACTATTAGATTAGGTTTCATTCAGTTCTGTGAAGTGTGAACATATATTAACCCCGTAAGTTTGAGTCACCAAATATTTTATTATCATTTGTTCATTCTTGGTTCTCCCCATCTTTTTCTTCAAATTGATCTGTTTCTATTACTGCTAACCATAATTACATTATCCTTTTAAAAATCAAATGACCAAGTGAATGAAGCCAATTGCCTGAAAAACCTACATTTACTTCTGGTTGAGGCCTTTTTGACAGTTAGTACTTTAGCAATATAGGAATTAAGAGCTAATAAATGTTAAATGACTTTAAAATCATAATTATCAATATTTGACTTGACTGCCCTCAGCCAATACTCAAGTGACTTTATCTCTAAATGCCAACTTATGCATGAGTAGTCACTTTCTTCACACTACAATACTTTCGGTTTTAGAGGCCTTCAACAATAATGTTAGTGTTGTATACTTCATACGCACGGCCAGAGATCGAACCCCTGTCAGCATGTTTAAGAAACACAGCTATCTACCAACTGTGCTGGGCTTTGTTGGTATCTTCATTTATATTTTAAGAAAGCATTTTGCTACTAGGAGTAAGACACTATTAATTTTTCTATTGCATAGCATATTATTTATTTTAATTTTTTCCATTAAATTTTAACTATTTAATATTAAAATCTTTTTATTCTCAGATTTTAATTATTTATATTTTATAAAATTACTCTCATTTTTTCACATTAAAATATTCTTTTTCGCTCCTGAATCTCAATTATATACAGTGTCAAGTTAAAAAAAAAATTATTTTTTTTTTATTTTTTCTTTCAATTCCCATAATATTAAATTAGAATATACTATATTATTGCACTGTTTGTTTCAATTTAATATTTATAGTTATTAGATTTTTTATATAACAGATAAATATTCAGTGTATATATAAGGTAGTATATTTAATTTTTAAAAAATCATACTCAAGATATTTCAAAAATCATATTTCGTCAAAAGTATCAACCATACTTTCATAAATAGATATTTGTATTATAAATTTGATAACTATACGATTTTATTCGATTTGATTTTATAATATTTGTTAAAATAATATTTCGTTAAAAGTATCAACCATATTTTCACAAAGAGAGATTTGTATTATAAATTTGATAATTATTTGATTTTATTTTATTTGTAATAATCCCAGGCAATATGTGAAAATATGGTTGATACAATTATGTAATTACAAATAAAATCATGTAAATAAGTGTCTGAAAAATATCTCATTGCTCAAAAGAAGAAAAAAATATTATATCCGTCAAAAGATCCATACTCTAGAAGAACTAGGAAAGTACAATACAATAAAGAAGTATATGAATCGCGAAGGAGTTTAAAGCCTTAATCCTGGACCTGCCCCGAATCGGACTAATCGCGAAGCGATGAACCGATGGAATATTTCCAAAAAAAAAAAAAAGAATAACTAGGAAAGTACAATACAATAAAGAAATAATGTAAATAAGGAAAAGAATCCTTAGAAAATAACAATCCTCGTACGATACCGAACTTGGACACTGCGGTTAAAAGAGTCCACAAAAAAGGTCCATAATTCTATTACCCATAATTAAAACCTATAAATAAATAAATAAATAAGAGATAAAAAGCCCAAACAGTTCTCATTCCCTTCTCTTCCCCTATTGAGGTTAGGGTTTTCAATATTTTTCGTAAGAGGAAGTATTGCAGTGAAGCTGAAACACAGAGGGGCTAAGGAAGAAGAAGAAAAGAAGATGACTCTTAACAAAAGGAAAGCATGGTCTATGCTGAACTGGTCCATCGCTCCGGTGAAGGCGGAGGAGGAGGAGGAGGAGGAGGAATGGACCCTTTTGGGCTACCAGTGCCGCGACCTACCACATGCTGACGAGTTGCACCAACAGCTCATGCGCGAGATCGGCCGCAATGTCGCCGAGATCCAAAACGAGGGACTCGGCGAGCACGCCCTCCGCGACCTCAACCGCCAGATCAACACACTTCTCTACGATAAACGCCACTGGGAGCGCCGAATCGTTGGACTCGGCGGCACCAAATACTCCGGCAAGATGATCGACCTTGACGGCAACATCGTCGATCTCCCAAATCCTGGCTTCAACTGCCTCGGTTTTGGCTATTTCGGCGCTGCCGCGAAGAAACTCCCCGAAGTTCGGGAGCTTCGGAAGGGGCGAACCCTCCCAAATCCTGGCTTCAACTGCCTGGGTTTTGGCTATTTCTGCGCTGCCGCGAAGAAACTCCCTGAAGTTCGGGAGCTTCGGAAGGGGCGAACCCGTAACGACATTTATAAGATTGATGCAAGTTACAGGGATGGCGTGCTTGAGCGCGAGGAGGGCCCTGCCGAGAAGAAGATGCGGCGTGAGGGGGAGGAGATGCGGCGCGTGGTCAAGGAGATGCGGGGCGTGGCGGAGGAGATGCGGCGTGAGGCAAGGGAGGAGAAGAAGATGGAGCTTGTTAGTGAGGGTCTATTGGAGGAACATAGTGAGGCTAAGGACATGCTTAACATTCAGGGTTAGGTTGATTATTTTAGTTGTAATCGACTCAGAACACCTGTTTAGGGATATTTTGATTGCCTTTAGTTTTTCAGGGTTTTTTTTTTGTCATGATGCATCAAGTCCAAATTCACTGTATTTTTCTGCCTTCTATTGATTGAAAGTGATATGAATGATTTCACTGTTTGAAGGTTGAAAGTATGATTGACCATTTTGTAAATGATGATTTAATACATTTTTAGTTTCTTGTAGCATGACCTTTCGTATCTCATACGATCATACTTAAAAATGGTTCAGTGCCAGATTGATGGGTTTCTGTTGTTGGAAAGTTTCTTTCTTGTTGAACCTTATTACTGGCCTGAAAGTCTCCTAATATATGTGATTCTACTCCAAAATGTCATGATTAGAGTTTAATGGCTGATAGTGGCGTATGTTTATGCTTATATGATGAGACACCGAATACATTCAGGGATTCCTCAAATTATTTTAAGTTGTATTAGCAGCCTTGAAAAGGGCAAAAGCAGACCTAAAGGTATCCTCTCTGCACTTAGTATGAGAATTGCTCTCATCCTTACCCTCGTTAGTTGTAGTTTAACGAGGAGTGATTTTGTTTTATATTCTATTGTTTTGAGGCTCTAAGATTATTGTGGTTAATTTTATATTAATATATTCATATTCCCTTTTTAGTGGTTACTTTTGATTCTAGTAAAGAAAAGACACTCAGGAACTACAAAGAATATTACCATTTATGCACATGGAAAACTTTTTTAATAGCTAGGTTGCATATTCGAGAGATTTTCTACTGAGTTGAAATGTATTAGAAGCATAATCCGGCACTGTATTCTATAATAGTTCGGAAGAACTGTGTTTTATGGAAGAGAGTCCCTCCCCTAATCAACTGTCAATAAATCGATGCCCAACCTAACTGTAAGCCCTTATTAATTAAGGCTTGTGACATGTACTGCCAATAAATCAATGGACAATTATGCCAAGAAAGTTGTGTTTTGGGCTAACTGCATTGTGCTCTTGTGCTTACGTTATAATTCTTTCTGGAACCATATAATTTCTCTGCTGATCTGCGTCCAATGAATTAGGATGCTGTCTTTTTCCTTTCATACAAACAAAAGATTTATGTACTCTATAGTCTATACTATACCCTTACTTTTTGTATGAACAAAAGAACTCCTAATTGAAGGCTGCGTTTGAATGACATGTACTGTTTTTCTGAGGGCTGGTGCAAATGTCCATTGAACTGGTTCTTTAATGTTTATATTTTGCATGATTTCTTTCATTGTAAGTTGTCTTTGATTTCTTTCTTGTTACCTTAATAGGTAAAGGATTTATACAACCTTATGCTTCACCATGATTATTTAATTATTAGATTAGGTTTCATTCAGTTCTGTAAAATGTGAACATATATTAACCCCGTAAGGTTGAGTCACCAAAGATTTTATTATCATTTGTTTATTCTTGGTTCTCCCCATCTTTTTCTTCAAAATTGTTCTGTTTCTATTCCTGCTAACCATAATTACATTATCCTTTTAAAAAATCAAATGACCAAGTGAATGAAGCCAATTGCCTGAAAAACCTACATTTACTTCTGGTTGAGGCCTTCTTGACAGTTAGTACTTTAGCAATATAGGAATTAAGAGCTGATAAATGTTAAACGATCTTAAAATCATAATTATCAATATTTGACTTGACTGCTCTCAGCCATTAATCAAGTGGCTTCATCTCTAAACGTTAACTTATGTATGAGTAATCACTTTCTTCACACTACAATACTTTCGTTTCTAGAGGCCTTCAACAATAATGTCAGTGTCTTATATACTTCCTACAGGACAAAGATTTAGTTCTAGATTTTGTTTGAGGGCGCAACCTTTCAGCCTCAACAGACTTTGGTCATTAGATATTGAATTTGTCTTCTAATTATGTACAGGAGAAAAATTAGGGACAACTTTAACAAGGTTGACAGTGTAGAATTTCAGAAATTACGTAGGGTGTCATCAGTTGGTCCTCACTCCTCATCTTACGGCATTGATTGAAACCACCATCAATGCATGTAATGTGTATAATAGCATGTTTGACTTGGGTATTGTACGGAATGAATGCCTAGACCAAGCGCTTGGATCCAACCTCGTTAACCAGCCATATGATCCTTCCAATTTCTTGATTTCCATGTAAAAGTCGATTTTATCCTTTGTGTTTGCCTTCACTGATTCCATACTCAAACTAACCAGCTCATCACTGTCACCATTGGCAGAATCTATGCAATGTGATAAACTCATGCATTTTAAGTAGAATGTCAATTTCTATTTTCATGTAAAGCACTGACATTAATCTATTAATTTTTAACACAATGATAAATGTCCCCACATTTTTAACAATATGTGAAGAATCTATTCAAATACTAAGGTAAAAAAAAAATTATGCTGATGTAAGAAAAAATGAAAGAAGCAAGAACAACCAAATCCTAAAGATGGGCCGACTCAAAGTAACATCTATGTGCAAAAAATTCAAAAGAACTGAACCACATCAAGAATCGCACCAAACTGAACCAAAATAACCAGTTTTTTTAAATCGGTTCGAAAAGTTGAACTGGTTCTATTATTTAAAACAATCCGATTACGGTCCGTTTCAAAACTGAATTTTAACCAGGTCGAACCAAACCAACCCATTGTGTGACACAACTCATCGAGTCATCGATCCTAATCGAAGGCTATTTTTCTTCAGCTCATGAACCCTAACTTCACCGTCTCAATCATTTCTCTTTAGTGTCGAATCTCGCTGCTCGTTCTCATCGAATTGGTAACGGTGGCTTGTGGCTTAGCGTTTTGGGAGTGAGTAAATGAGAATCTGGTTTATTTTGAATCTTAGTAATTCAGGGATTCTTGTAATTACTATTCCTCGACCTCTGTTTTCGGTTTCAGATTTTATTTTTTTATTTTTTTTGTTTTGTTTCAATGTATCATCAACTATGAACCCCTTTAAGGGTTTTGTTATTCTTTCTTTTTACGCTGTGTTTATGCGATTTGCTTGCGGTCTTCATTCTATTTATTTTTTTATTTTTCTCACTTGTGGCCAGTGGCAGAACTAGGGGGGCTAGGGTGGGCCCTCGCCCCCCTAAAATTTGATGAGAAAATTATATATATAAATATTATTTTAATAATATTACAAAATGTGTGTGAGTGGACAAATTACTGACATGCGTGAGCGTGAAAAGAAAGTACAAAACCTCAACGGCTCAAATCAAACTTCTGAAAATTATTCAGCCTGCAATTGCAAGAGAAGACAACTGAAGAGGAAGTACAAACATTTTTATTGAAGGGGGGGCGTGAGACTCAATCTTGAAACACTTTTCAAGTGCCTTTTCACTCTTCAATTTTCAGTGATAGTTAATAACCTGCCTGAGTCGCTCTTACCTTCTTTTGGAGTAAAATTTACTAAAAGGTGTTTGGTAAGCCAAAATTTTTCCGGGAATGTTGAGTTAATTTTATTGATGTTATGCGTTAATTTTTCCATCACATGAAAAAAAAAAACAATTCCACCCCTTCAATAATAATCTTCCCCAACTACTTTACATAGAAAAGCAAATGATGGAAAAAATAAATTTCTAGCCATATTTTTACTTCACCTCCTACCAAACATTGGCAAATAATTTTCCAACCCCATTTTCCTAGGAATTTTTTTTTCACCTCCTACCAAACACATGATTGTGAGATTAAAAAATTGTAATGTGCTCTTCTAAATTATTCTTAATCTCTTTAAACTTCCAACAATTTTAGCTATAAAAAGAATGAAAAGACATATATAACTTTGTGGGTATCTAATTTATTGATAATGGATAACATGATTTATTTATGGATTCGCCTCTCTTCTGCAGCAATAACATATGAAATTATTTGTAGCAAACATATTTACACATGTGGATTTGACATTTAAAAAGAAAGAAAAAAAGTCAGGATCCGCATGCGTAAAATAAAATCAAGAACAAGCTTCGAAATAAAATAGAAGACTAATTTCTTGATGTTTCTTTGATTACATACATTAAAAAGAAATTATTTTGAGTTTTAATACGGATTCAATTATATACGGGTTTAACAATAATAAAATACGTAAAATAAAAGTTAAATGAAGTGATCTTAATCTTTGTAATAAATTTCTTTTATTTTTTTATATTAGGTCGTATTATATTTCAAATATTTTTGTTTATAATATAATATTTTTTATTTTCGCCCTCGTCGTTAAAATTCCCGCATCCGCCACTGCTTGTGGCATGTGCTCAAAGGGTAATTTATGATTGGATTTTTTAACGGGAACTTGTGGCACGAAGGGTTTGGATTTTTTATGATTGGATTCGAAGTCTTCGATATAGGGATAAAGGGTATGTGCAGTTGCGTTTCGGTATTATGGGTTAATTTTTAATTTTAATTAGAAATTTGATGAAGGTTAATTTTTGCAATGCGGGTTTTATTCTAGGTGAACTTTGATGCAAAGACGGAGTATGATATGATCCAGAATTACAAAATTCTGCAGGATGTGTTCAACAAACTGAAAATTGACAAGGTATCTGTTTCTTCTCATGATTATGTTAAGTGGAATACTTGGAATTGAAACAGAGCTTTGCTTTAGTAAATAAGAAAGAAAGAAATAATGCTAGGATGGCTTATTATAACTTTCAAGTGCTCAGACTAGCAGTAATCAAATTTCTTTGTTTGGGGATTCAATGGAATGATTTACCACTATTAAACTTTTAGCATATGGGAAAATAATGTGTTTATCAAGGCCTATAAATGCTATTGATGTATAAATTTAATGAGTGGAATTTCATTCCAACTCCAGATCACCTATTCTTTATTAATGCTTCCTTGTCCCTTTCGCTCAGCCCCCAATTTGTATCCTCAAGCTTGCATCACTTGTAGACTGCAATTTCAGGGAATTATCTCTTTAGGCACGTTGGCAAAAGCAACATTAGAAATTTAGTTAAGGAAAATTTGGTGTACAATCTCGTTTTTATGCTCAATCCCAGTTTGATTGGTTGGATAAGTTTTATGCCCGAGTGTGAATCTTTCCTCTTGATTTAGTGGTAAATGTATTTTAGATAATAACTTAACGTGAGACTGAATGTGCAATCAAATGTTACTGTTTAAAATACTTATCAAGGCAATGGGTATTCAATATCTGGTAGTGAGAAGAACCTACTTAGTGGCATTCTAAATAAGAGAGTTTGTAGATATGGATGTTAAAAAAAGCTTGAATAAGAAATAAGCACGGTATACAGGGTTGTTGCAGATATTAGTTGGTATGCACTGATTGCAAATTTGGGA